TAAATACACATTATGGAATAGCAAAAATGAGAATGTGTGGGTTGGTGCCTGTGTAGTGATACACTAAGCAAACAATCAGCGAATCCTGACGTCCTTTTGACATTTGTTTTCAAGATGGAAATTCCTGCAATACCCATTCTTATATTTTAGTCTGCCTAAGATCAACATGGCTGGTCTGATTGACCATGTTGATGTGTAAGAGGGATGATTTTAATATTATTTATAAATTACTATAGCCATGTAATAATTATGAAATTATAGCATCATGTAGGAAGGAGGATCTCTATGTTAAAGGCAGGCTTTACTACTTCAGCCAGAAGGGATTAGACCATCCAGCGAACCAGCGAGGTCACTGTGACAGGTGGCTATCTCCTTAACTCAGCTCTCATGTAACATAAGAAAAAGAGGATCATGGGGACCAACAGGCACCGATTGGTGAAATTTTCTATATAGAGGGAGCAAGTAGCTACAAGTAGGACAGTGTGCCTTTAATGTCAAGACAAAATCATCACCCGACATTTGACGATTCGACAAGTGACCTTGCTCGCAGCCTTACGATTTTTCTTCCCTAAATCAAAATCATTGTGTTCTGTTACTGATTTTGAGTGTAGTGTTTTTTTTTCCTTCTTCTTTGTATATATTTTGTAAAGGATATAGGTTTGCTCATGGACCCTGGATTCTTTTTTTTTAAGAGAGAGAGAGAGAGAGAGAAAGAGACAAAAGAGGGACTTTGCCTGGCAACCACACAAATTTATGTCCGATCCCCATTATAGTCATGCACGATGTACGGACTGGTACACTCTTTATATCATGTCACAGAATCGTAGGAGACTAAGATATTTCACACGGCTGGGCTTGCGACAAGGGTAAAAGAAGAAAGAAAAACGCATTTGAAAGGAATATTGTGAAAGGAAACGTACCTTGATTGAAATCATTTATAATGATGTTCACGCTGGTAGGTTTTGCATTAAAAAAAAATTATGATCACTGATTGTGACCTGAAGCGCGTGGGTGCCTAGAAGCTCAAAACAGGTTTGTCGAATAGATTCTTTAGAATCAAATTACAATGGAAAACTATTTGAAGTCTAAACATGTCAAAATTTGGTATTACTTCGTTCCGATTTGATACAAACATTCCTCGCTGAATAATATACGAGAAAACTAAACCAGACATATAATACTGGAAAATGGAAACAGTATTTTGGCTTCTTTTTATGACTCTTAAAGGTACTATGTCCCTTGTGTAGCCAACGTCAAATTCTGTAGAACTTTGCAGGAATCATGAATATGTTATGTATGTCTGTGAAATTTATTCATTACAATTGTCCTAGTATTCAAATTATGCAAGGAAGTCCGTTTACCTTCTAGACTTCACTGCCAGACACTATTAAGTGGCTGACTGACATATTTTATCTTTAGTAATAACATATATAAAAGGAGCTGTAACAGGTACATGAGCATTTGTCAATAACCCACTACTTGTAATGGTCAAAATTAACCTGATTGAATCTGTGTGCAGCACACAACTTACGATTATTACTCAGGTGATTGCAATCACTTAAGTCGATTCGACAACTAAAGGTCATTTTTCCCACTAATAGCCATTTTCAAGCCCTTTCGTTTTGAGGGAAGTTCTAAATTAGTATAGTCTTTCCAAAGTCGTTTGATTTTAACCTTTTCATTTTGTTGGCCTGTAAATGGGACATAGTACCTTTATGTTCAGGACCACCACCCTTAAAGGTACTATGTCCCTTTTGCAGCCAACTTCAAATTCTGTAGAACTTTGCAGGAATTATGAATATGTCATGTATGTCCTATCTGTGAAATTTAAACGTTAGCAGTTTCCTCATATTCAAATTATGCAAGGAAACCCGTTTACTTGCTAGACTTCACTGTCAGACACTATTGAGTGACTGACTGGCTTTTTTCTTCTTTGGTAATAACATACATGAAAAGAGTTGTAAAGGGTACATGAGCATTTGTCTACATCAATAACACACTTCTTGTGACGGCCAAGATTAAACTGATTGAATCTTTGCGCAGCATAAAACGTATGACCATTCGGTACAATTGTCTGAAAATCAAGACTATTACTTTTGGGCTCTATAGCCCTAAAGTCGATTTGACAACTAATAGTCGTTATTTTCCCACTTGAAGACATTTTCAAGCCCCACCTTTTTTAGGGAAGTTCTAAATTAGTATTATCTTTCAAATGCAGTTGGAATTTAACTTTTTCATTTTTTTGGCCTGCAAATGGGACATTGTACCTTTAACAAGATTTCGCATATACATACATGTATCATTATGTAATTCAGGAAATAAGTGAAACCCTAAAACGTAAATACCGAACTACATTCATGTATTTATGTATGGTATGCTATACTTTAACCTAAGAGGGCTATTAACAGTTAAGCTGATGTTGAATAGATTGAGAATACTTGAATTTTACAGAAACATTTCTTTATGCAGCGTTGAACATAAGTAAAAGAATACCAAAAGTAGACAACGTATATCTAGGCATAAATACCATGTATACGGTGAAAAATACATGGGTACATATTTCAATACTTCCCTTGTTGCCATTTGAAATGGTCAGATTACATTCTCCCGTCCTCGATACGAAATATACTGTTGCTCTTAAATTTGGAATATTTTTGTTTTACCCCAATTCATGGAATTATTTTGACAATGATTTATTCCTAATAGATCTAGATAATAGTATACATTCTCAGATTTTATTGAGTAACAATTTGCCAGTGTTTGTTTCGCGTGGCTGCTAAAGTATGTGTATGCTACTATGTTTATCAACTAGGGGACCTATGCCCTTAAGTCATAAATGACAGTAAAGAGGATTAATGCCCCACAAAAGGGCACTAATAAAGCATATCGACACGGTGTTGATCCTGGGGCCTCACAGTTACGTGACCATTGCTTTGCCACTAAACCATGACTGTACGCAGCGGGGGCTATAGGGTAGGTAGCCTTTTGACAAGGCCTCGTTGACTCTGGCTAAGCGGCTGAGATGAGTCTACATACCCGGAGTGAACGCGCGACCGAATGACGCCTCGTTGACTCTGGCTAAGCGGCTGAGATGAGTCTACATACCCGGAGTGAACGCGCGACCGAATGACACAGGTCCAGGCCCCCCAAGCTCCGCCATTTTGTCCGGATCCATTAGAAGCCAAAATAAGCCCCCTTGCATAATTCATGAGCCTTATGAATTATGCATTCTGTAGGATGCTCCCCACGAAAAGTGTACTGGAATTATGTTAACTACATGGTAAAAGACAATACGCGTATCAGCGTAATTAGAGAGGTCAAATAATCTACTGTACGGAATTATGGGTAATTTATTCATCACGCTGCGCGCTCGCAACGCAAGTAATTCAGCGAATCAGCGTGGATTATTCTGATGCGATCACCATGAGGTGAAATACGCGCTCGAACTTGTATTATCGATCACCAGTATGACAGCTGGTGTACCCAGGATGCATCGGGAAGTGGACCTTGAAAGTCCCACTCGTTGTGTTGTTGTTGTTTGTTAATATGGGGGAGTGGCCTCAACTTCATTGAATAAGAAATACTGATATTGTCTCGATCTTATTCCCTTTTTAGTCTATCAATAACTGGGTCTGTTTTTGTTTTATTAAATCAAACATGCTATAAGCCATATAACAACACATTCTCTGACTATGATTATACATTTTAATTATGCTAATGTATAAAGTTTCCTTATTTTAGACAAACAAATTATGTGGCAAAGTGGATGGTTTTTCTCGACCCATAACGGTTTGTTGTCTTGACTGAACAACCTGTTGTAGTTCCTTTCTGTCTCACTTTCTGTCGTGTTATTACCACTCATTTACATTTACTCGTTATCAACTACAATCAACCATTCCATATTCACTCCATTACTGTCCACATTTCACTTGGATTCTTCACTTTTCCTTTTTGCAGCCTTTGCAGGAGCTTTGAACATGTTTAATGTAGAGACCAGAGAGATCGGAAAATATGTTAATCATTTTATTCAAATTTTCTAACTTGAAAACGGAAAGTGAAACATTGTTTTTCAACATCTTGACATCATTTTTGACAATGTAATTTAACACTGGAAATTTTGAATTGGGTTGCCCCCCCCCCTAAAAAAAAAAAAAAAAACAACAAACAAACAAACCCAGAAGTGGTACCAGGGTTAGTTAGTTAGGAGGCCCATGTCCTTTATAATTTTATTTTTAGGAATAGTTTTCTCTCTGTTATCAATTTGACATTGGTATACCGTTAATTTCACTGGGAAAACCACCCCCTTCCCTTACACATCAATACTGCCATTTCTTCTAGCAACAGTAATTCTATAATTCAAAACGTTTTCATTTTCTAAATCCTTCTAATATATATAACAAATATAATATTTTTTACACTTTTGCAACCTATTACATGGTCCATGTAGAAACAGCACCAGGAAGAGGATAACAAGCCCCCCCCCCCCCCCGTTTTTTAAGCTAGGAAGTATGAAAACATGATTCTATTAAAATTAGCAGTTTGGATACAAAAGGCAATGATAATTAGCAGTTTTCATATTTTTGGTGCATTTAGAGGGTTGTCTTTCAAACCTTCTTACATACAATACTTGAAGCAGCAATAATGTAATAATCTACAAAACTGCAAATACAGAAGTCCATAGACTGAGGTAAATGAATTTCGACATGTATAATTATGATTAAAATATCATTGATTAATTCAATCTTTGATATAGACTGATAGATCTTTACCACTCAAATTTCAAGGAAATTTCTTTCTGCCCAGCCCTCAGTTTCATCCCATAAGATGGTAGTTGACATTGTTAAAATGTTAATGTTTATTCATTGATGATTAGTTATCTTTAATTATTTGAAAGTTGACAAGATGATAAATTCATTAGCTCTTTTTAAATGTGGTATTCTACAAACATATGATACAAATAATAAATAAATAGTATGTAAATATTCAAGTTTAAACCCATCTCTACTGTCCTCTTTCATTATATGAGGGTGGCATCTTTAAGACGTAGTCCCATGTACATGTAGATGTCTTATGCATTCATCGATGAAGATGTAGGCTAGTTTTCAGAAGAAAAGGCTGAGATGATAACCCAAGTCTGTTGAATGGAAAAATAAAATAAGATACAGTGCATAAGAAAATAAACAACAACTAATAACATACACCATGATACCTGCTCTGACAAAAAGAGGAAGGACTAATATTCACTTGGGATTCTAGTGGGCAAACCTAAACTATTTTTCCTACAAAACTAGTTACTGACCACATCTTAGATTATTTCTGACGATAGGCCTGCTGGAGCTTGGATCAGACAAGGTATGAAATAAGTAATACGTGTACAATTTACTTGTATTGTGAACTTGTGCTCATAATTGATTAATACTCGGTTAAGTATGGGACATAAAATGACCCAACAACTTGGACCAGTGAATGTGCTGGAAATAATGCTACTGAAGCATACGTAATGTAGACTTATATTTCATCTATATCAAAATTTTATTTTATATCTAAATCACAATTGTGATATTCAGTATTCTTTTACAAGTAACGGACAATGAAAAATATCTTTGTCAGATCTATAACATTCTGCATGATATGTGTTCTACAATAGTTTATTGGGGGTACCTACATTGTATATTAGCACACTTGCTCGTATGAAGTGTAGTAGGCCCGCATCTCTAGATATAGTGATTCTGTCAATATCTGTTCTTTGTTCCTCTCCTGGGTTTGTAATCAGCATGCCTTCATCATCCACTGTAGAGAAGCATCATCCTACATAAGAGAAAACAATGTAGGTACTTCAATTAAAAAGTGATAATAATAGATACATATCAACCATAATACATTATACATCCTATAAACAGACTTTCATTAATCTTATGTTGTGTTCTTCCTCATCTTCTTTGCTCAAGAAGTGAATGGACCACTTACAAAAAAAAAAAGTAATGAGGGGTCCTGTGTATACCCTACATATATGATCATTATTATTATTATGTAGTGCTTTGAATGTGCATTAGACATCGTTCTTCTGCACACAGGACCTCCTGTAAATAAGGACAAATCCCTTTGTAAACAAAGAAAGGGAAGAACTAGAATAAAATATCCCCTCCACTATAATACACTTAGTTCCATTTCCTTTTTAGTGAATTAATAGATGGTCGTTTAATATTTGTGTGCTAAATATCCAGAAAATTTTACCTGCATGGGACTTTCAGCTTCATCTTGCAAATATAAGAAATGTTGTAATGTCTACTCATCAGTTAACTCCTTCCAGCTCTTCATCAGTTTCAATCTGTTGGAACAAAAAGAAAAGAAAATCAATTAGACAATCAAGGCGTCCCTTTCTCCTTAACAAAATAAAAATAGATCTAGCATGAAAGCTATTTTTCATGTCATGGTTGGCCTTAATTTTAATATGGTGTGGAAATCAACATTCCAATTTAATGGACCACAGTACAAGTTAAAATTAAATGGAAGATTTAACTTGTGCCTCAAAAGTGCTTTATATGGCCTAGAGGTCTATACATACAATGTATAAAGTAGTCTTAAGTAGAATTGGTTTATTAAGACAAGAAGAAGTGGACTACATAAGTAAACATAATTGTGGACTAGGGGTCTTCTCTTACACAGACAAATAGATTTATCAACATGAACTGCACAATTTGGAGAAGAAAAAAATCTCTAATATATTAAAAGAATTAATAGGGGTCAGGCGCGTACGCAGGGGGGGGGGGGTTAATAGATCTATGTGTATGTTTTTCTGGAACCCCCTCCCCCCCCCCCCCCCCCCTTTTTGAGTGTTGATTTTTTTTTTTTAATAAAATTTTTTTAAAAATCCTAGAAAAAAAAAAATCTAATGCGTGACCTAAAAAAGATGACTCCCCCCCAAAAAAAAAAATTCCTCTTACCCCCCCCCCCCCCCCGCTTATTCAGCGGCTGGCTGGGTCGTTGCGAAGTTTTTGGCCCGATTTCAAAATGTTAACCCCCCCCCCTGAAAAAATCCTGCGTACGCCACTGATAGCTAGGGTCTAGATCTAGATCTAGATCGAGTAGGCCTGTCTAGACTCTAGACTAGTATAAATAATGACAACTTGACAAGCATACTGGACCCACCATAATCTAAATATTAAATAAACAAATCCTAGTGTTCATATTTTTTAAATATATTTTATTAGTTTCAGGTTTACATCTTGATGAATAGGATTTGGAGTTGTTTGATTATCAATGGTCACAGATAATTTTGGTCTAAATAAAGTTGACACGCACCGCGTACCGATGATGCAACTGAGCGAACGGATGGCACTGAGCCATCAGAGTCCACATCTACTAAAGATTTTAACAAGAATTAATCCACTTGGATTATCAAAAAAATAATGCTTCGTAGATTATTTTAAGGTGTAACGTTAAATCTAGATTTAAATTAAATCGATGATTGGTGAATTAGATTCATGATGACGATCAGATCTGAAATAAAACTTGATTAGAAAGTTTGATCTTGATGCAAATGAGCACCGAAATTCCCCGGGGTGGGCCTGCCGGAACGGCCGGGCCCCTAACTGGAGTACTAGGGTGAAATGACAGCAAACCGCAGTCAAACTACTTCATGACGATGAAAATCAAAGTTCAATTTCAAGAGCAATAATTTCCTAGTCTTTTCCCCAAAAATCTGTTGAGAACGGTCTCCAAATGTAACGAAATTACCGTACATCACGAAGATTATTGCAGTTTTTTCAAAATTGATGACTAAATTCACTTAATCTACTCATATTTCAATCAATTACTCACCCATTCTCAATGAACTAACTCTTCTCAGTTTGTGCGAGTGTAGTAGCGTCGTGCATAAATCTGCATAATTAAAGTGACGCAATGAGGTCAAATATATTATCCGGTTTCTTAAACGATACTATCGATAAAATACATATTCATGAGGCACTTATCCAATCAAAAAGCCGCCTCGGGTGCTTATTTTGTCTTCAAATGATCCAAAAGAGGCGGAGCCTAATCCCATTCGTGTAATGGTTTCCGCGCGTGCTGCTTTCCGTCTAGTAATTATATTTAAACGTCTTTGCACAGGTCTGGACAATTCGCACTGGCGTTCGCATCAGGTTTTCGCGATTAGTCTCTTTTTAGTCGCTCGGCGTCTATCAGGCATGTGGCCTTGTTTAAAGGCTATAGGGTAGGGGGCAGTGGCCACAAATAAAAAAAGAAGAAAATGCAATACATTATCAATAAATAATTGCATTTTGCCCCGACCCCCAACATAAAAAAATACTCTATGTGGGCATGCCTTGAACCATAATGCATGGCCCTACAGAGGAATCTTTTAGGTTGGGGACCGGGGTAAAATGCAATTAATTATTGATAATTTATTGCATTTTCTTTGTTTTTTTAAAGATACTTTAGTTGCACGTGAATGACCTGAAATTACCATGCAATAATCACATAGTGTGAACCTATAATGGAAGGTAATTAATATTTTGTCAATATTCTTGATAAGTACTCCGAGTCCTACTCCCTTCATAATCTAGGAAAACACCTTTCATGCATTATCTTCATGGAACATTTGGCTTAAAAGATTATGCGAATTTCCCAACATTGCCCGAATGTGAAAATTGTTCTCTAACGACATGAGATCACGAATCATCAACAACAACAACAACAAGTCTTAAACGGAAATACCTCTTCTTGGTTCATTAAATGCAAAGTCCACTATCCTACCGGGAATCTTTAGGGAATTGCTTCGAACAAGATGATGTTCCATACGTTACCAGAGCCAAAATGCCTTATTCTTGCCCAGTTGTATAGACTTAAGAAACTTAAGACACCGTTTGATTATGGGTTCTGCTTATTCATCTTACGACGGAGCGCTGGAATACAAAAAACTTGAAAAACTTGAAGTTAGAAGGATTCATCTTTGTAAGAAATTTGCCCAGGCCCTCACGAAATCTAGCCACTTCAATAGCTGGTTACCCCTTAGGAGACAATATGAAGGTTCCCGATCACTTAGAAATAAAAACCCACTACCAACAAATGCGCTGTAGGACAGAAAGGTACAGAAAAAGCCCTATCCCTTCTTTATTGACATACTAAACAATACCTCATGAAAAGTCTAATAAGACTGATAATAATAATCATACGATTGCCTTTGATGATATCATATACGTGGATATTGGTATCAATGTAGTTATAATCTAGGGATGATGTTCGGTTTACCCATATCTTAGATGTGGATATTGATGAATTTGGACTTTCTCTTTCACCTCCTTCCATTTTTTCTCTTTTATTACTATATATTACTCATTCCTCCCTTCTGTTATTCGTTCTCTCGCATACTATTTTTTCCTATCGTATTCCCCTCTCCCCCCTCTCTCTCTCTCTCTCTCTCTCTCCCTCTCTCTTTCTCGCTTTCTCTCTCGCTCTCCCACTTTATCAACATCCTATAATATGTATATATATAGATATATATATATCTATATATAGATATATATCTGCCTATGCATTTGTTATTTCCTACTCCCTCGCATCCAACATTTTACATATTTTATGTTTTAAATATAAATAATATCCTATTTTTATTTTTTTGAGGAATCTGTCTATAGTGTATAATTTATCTACTTTCACCTTTATAGGTAGTATTTTAAGCATCACCTTTCTAATGACGGACTTAATGTTATTTTACAATATCCTCATATCAATATATTATGTACATGTAATAGTTGTACCTGGTTCTGCTCTCTCTCATCTGACGTGAAACATTTAAAAACATACCTAAAGCCTTATTTCTGGTTTTTGTCACTCCTAGTTCTTACTTTCCCCTAATGGTAGTTTTCTTCCAACATTAGTTCTTCCTCTTTGTTTTCTTCTTCTTCTTTCTTTTAATTCTCCTTTATTTTCTACCTCCCTCTTTTACTCTTGCTATCATATCGCGGCTTGAGATATTCTTCTCTCACGTACAATTACTCCTATTTTATCCTCTTTTTCTCCCTCTCCCCCTCTTTCTTTTTCTCTCTCTGTCCATCTTTCTCTCTCCCTCTCTCTATCAAACTTCCCCCTCTCTTTCTCTATCTTCATCTGTCCCTCACTCCCTCTTTCTTTCTATATCTTCCTCTTTCTCTCTCCACCTTCTCTCTGACTCCCAACTTTTTCTCTCTTCCTTCTTGATTCTCTCTCTCCCTCTCTCAATCTGATCATCTATTAATGTGACTTTATACCATCTAATACTGTCGAGCTATTTCGGTTTAAAATGTAAAAGAATATTTGTTGAATATATTATGTTTCTAATTTTTTAATGCAGTTATTATTTCGTGTAACGCTTTATACAAGGTTCATTATAATCTCATGTTTTTGTGTCACAGAATTGTAAAATATCGTGCAATTCAGCCTTCGGGCTGCAATCTGCTTTCTGAATAAATAAACTATTATATGCTAATGTGGGTATAGCCACCTTCTCATCGTTCTCACAATACAAATAATATTTAGTCAAACTGTGTATGATATTTACTAAGAATTAGGGTTTTTGCATTATATACATGGATTAAATGTAACTCTATTCAGATGAGCTTATACAGTGGCTATTGCTGGGATCAACACAATTTAGAGGTAACGAGTCAAAAATTATTTAGCATACTCACTATTTGCCTAGATCCTGATAAATGCGAAATGAATCGTGGAATGAGGCGTCGAGTCCTCTCCTCAGAAATAGTTATCCAATTATATAGCCGAGCTGAAAGGATTCACAGATAATCTTACACAGTTCAAATAAAAGAAACTGGCAACAAGTGACATGAGAGGTCTCTTCTAGAACGTTTTATCAAGGCATTTACAATGTTTCTTTCGCAAGATAAGAGGAGAGTTTGACTCCAGGCCATGAATCCGGGTTGACAGATGTCAAAACATGCAGCGTGTCGAAGAAAATGATCTAGAAATCAATCTAATGCAAATTTCTTTTGCACAAGTCATGATTCCATGTAGAAGTGACGGATAACCAGAATGAAATAAAAGACTAAGGCTGCGTAAGTTTGTATTTCACCGTCTGGTGACGTGACATTGAGCAGGAACCTGATGCAAGTCAGTCGGATTATTATTATGGTCCCGGCCAAAAACGAAACCAGAGCAGAATACATATAGAACTAACGAACCAAACAAAAGAAAACATATTTCGATCTCGCTCATCCGTGACGGAGTCGGTCCTGATGGGCATTGTGATGCAAATGTAGGGCATTCCGCTCAACAAGTAGATACCCTAGTCTGTTACCAGAAACTACTTTGAATGACAATGGGGGGAGGGAACTTCAATATATCAACTGCCATTGTATCTGAGTACTTTTCCTACAATTCAATCATTTAAATCTCCTACACTAGCGAATCTAGAGAATTCCAAATCTCATCAACTCAGCTCTCAATTAACTTAAGAGGATCATGGGGGACTAACGGGCACCGCTTAGGCATTGTTTTCTATATAGAGGGAGCAAGTAACTACAAGTGGTGCAGTGGGGCTTTAATTTGCGAAATAAACGTAGGCACTCAGATATAGCCCAATGCACGGCTATACTCGTCTCAATGATCAATATTTTGTGCAATACTTTTTCTCTGTATTAAATGTGGAACAAGAGGTAAGAGGACATTTTTTTTTTTTTTTTTTTTTTTTTTTTTTTGGGGGGGGGGGGGGGGTAAGGTCACCTTTTTTTTAGGTCAGCCATGTTATTTTATAATTTAAAAAAAAGGGGGGGTTCAAACCCCCCCCCCCCCCCTGCGTACGCGCCTACACGGTCTACAGTACTTGGTGGTGGGGGGGGGGGGGAAGAAGGACACAAATGTGTGGGAAATCATGCCATTGTCAATATAGAAAGTGCGGTATATTTAATTTATAGTCTCACCTCTCTGGTGAAATGCAGCGCTATTAACTGTGCGGATCAGATTGGGGCGAATGTCGCAGGTTTCCTGTTTCACGAAAGTATCATTTCTGTCTTCAACTTGGCCTTGGGCAGCTTGAATGATGGAGGTCAAGATTCTACGTCAGTCAATAGTGAGAATACGAACCGTAATCCCACACGCCCGTATCGTGCAGGCGCACGCTTAATTACCTCACGGGGATTCCCCTAAAATGTTATGTGCAAATACGCACTTATGACGAGCGGAACAGTTTTAACCAATCAGAACGCAGGAAACCGTGCATCCTTACCACCATGCATCCATTCATCTACAGAAAGAAAAATACCCCCCCCCCCCCCAACTCAGTGTTATTTTAATAGAGTACCCTCCTTTTGAAAACACCCCCTAAGTCCGGTGTGTACAGTCAATTTTGTGTATATACTAGCCGGACTTTGGTGCGTGAAAAGTACCCCTTTACCGGACATTTTGGTAACATGCATGCGGTCATTCCGACCCCGGAGTGGGGGGGGGGGGGGGGGGGGGGAGAGACAAATCCAGCGAAAATCCCTTGAGGAAAAAAAAAGGGAGAATTTTCTTGTTTCGTTGGAGGATTTTTCATGGGATTTTTCGCGGGATAATTGATGATAGATAGCCTATTATCTTGATAATTTGCCTTTGTCTGACATCGCCTTATTTGTATTTATTGATGTATTGACAAAAACACATAGGCATCGTCTGAACTTCCTTTTTAAATCAAATCAAAATTAAATCAAATTTAAGACTGTGATCATATCTTGTACCATATTAGTATTATTATCATTCTTTCTAATGTTGTTGATCGAGAGAGAGACAGAGATAAAACATAGAGAAAGTTTGGGATATACAGTCGGATCTAGGGGAGAGAGGGAAAGAGAGAGAGAAAGAGAGAGAGAGAGAAAAAAAATGATACAGGAAAATTTAAATGACCACACCTCCTCACTTCCAGATCCTAATCAAATAATGGTCATGCGCGGTCACGTGTGATTCATTTACTGAGCCTATTGCACTCGTTTTCATGAAAAGGAGTGCAATATTTTCCAGTACTATTGAACTCGTTTTCAGAGCGCAGTAGTGCGCGTAGAGGTTACAGCGCTTAATACTGCGTGAGCATGAGCCTATTCTTGCGCAGCACTATGCGTAAATGGGTATATTGGTATTAGTGCGCTTGCTATATCTATAGCTTTGTGTGCGCACTAAATTAAGCCTTATTAAACTTGAGACACAAGTCAAGTAAAGAAATTTCACGCGTTCATGATGAGACACCTTCGAGCAATCATGAGAATCAGTTGGAAGGACAAGGTGACCAACAAAGAGGTACTAGAGCGAGCAAACCTTCCTTCTATGGAGGACCTGCTCATCAGGAAGAACCTACGATGGACAGGCCATGTCATCAGGATGCCCTCCGAGAGGTTACCAAAGCAAGTACTATTCTCGCAACTACCCGCTGGCGAAAGAGGGATTGGTCGTCCACGGCTTCGCTACAAGGACACGATCAAGAGGAACCTTAAGCGGAGGCAAATTGAAACCAAGACTTGGACAACTGCTGCAGGCCAGCGAGCTGTATGGAGAACAGCTGTAAAGTGAAAATGAAGGCGGTCATTGTCGCTTCGCGACAGACAGCTACTACTACTACTAAACTTGAGATTTATTACTGTCACGAAACAATCTTGAATGAATTCTTTTTACATCAAATAACAAGGATCTAGGAGTTTCGTTGTATAAAACAATTGATGCATGTTTTCATTCGTTCATTATACGATCTATCCGCTCTCGTTGATGCTGTGTGTATCTATCGCACTCAGCCTAACGGCTTCGTGCGGATATATCGTATAATGAACTCATGCGCATGCATCATTTGTAAAATATGAGAGGCAAAATAGACTGGAAAGGAATGAGGAGGAAAATAAGAAACGTAAAAGAAGATGGGGTGTCGATTATAAGGGAATCGAGAGAGAGAGAGAGAGAAAGAGAGAGAGTGAAAGAGAGAGTGAAAAGGGGGTACAGGGGTAATGTAAATGACAGAGGCTGATAGGCTAGAGAGCTCGACAGAAGGAAAGGAATATATTATGTATATCGTCGCCTGCACCACGAACCGTCCTCTCTGCGCACTTTGATGCGAAAGTTAGTTTCGCAGAAAACGCATTTAAAGAAAAGCTTTTTTTAAACCGGCAATAATTATAACTAAAAGTAGAGCAAATTAAAAACCGATGACTTCATTCGATAGTTCAGGTCCCAAAGTTACATCCCATATCTTTATATTTTCTTGAACTTAATTATTTACGCCACAGCGAGCATTGTAACAGAGAGGACGGTTCGTGGAACAGATATAGTGCGCGATCGCGCCTCGCGTCTTTACCACGAACTGGCCGCTCTCCTGCGGACGGTTCGTGGAAAAGATGAAATGCACAATGCGCATTGCTATTTTCACCACGAACCGTCCGCTCCTATTACGCGCAACTGAAAACCGTACGAAATGAATGGAAGATGAAGTGACTGAGAATCGGAAAGTGTTGTTTACAGACATCGGTTTTCTAATTCACATTTTCAAACATTTTAGGGATGTTGAAATAATCCGGGTGATGATGAGAGTAAAGAATGACACATCTACTCTCACTCAATATCAATTCTTCAAAAATGATGAAATATTTTTTGTCCGTACTGCCTCATAAACAGAGAAGACGGTTCGTGAAAAAGATGAATTCCGTTACAACAGTAATCCATTTCACCACGAACCGTCCGCTCTTAACAAGATGTGTACAAACCGAATGAATATTTAAGAAAATCTCAATTAAAGTATGATCTGTGAGCATTCATAGTTATTTTAATTCAATATTGATTTTTTTTTTTGTACTGAATAACAGGCAAAATTCGTTTATTGGAAATCAGTTCATTGCATGCAATAATTTGTCTTTTTCTTTTCTTTTTTCTTTTATTTGAAATTTATTAGTTAGTTTATTAGTATTGCTATCTTACTGGACGAAATCAAAATGCTCTTCTTTTAACATTGTCCAATTCTGGATTGATAGTAAATCTTGCTTTGTTTCTTTCTTTGCTTCTTCTTTCTTTGCTTCTTCTTTCTTTGTTTCTTTCTGCCTTCCTTCCTTCCTTTACTTTTTCGTCTGCCTTCCTTCCTTCTCTTTACATTTTCTTTCTTTCTTTCCTCCTTGCTTTCTTTACCAAATTTTCTTCCTTTCTTTCTTTATTTCTTCCGTTCTTTCTTCTTTTTTTAAATTTGTCTGCAGTAATTTCATAAGGCACTTTAAATTAAGAAAATCAGATAAATCAGACATGCATGGAAACAAAGGATTTAGATACACACGTCCATTGCCTGCTTCAAATATTAAAAAAAATAAACAAACATAGATTATTTATCAATTGTGTCTTTTTATCTTTTAATAATCATCATATTATTTCATTCCATAGTATTTGCAACATATTTAACAGAAATATTTACAGACAGAACAAAATCTGAAATAGGCAAGACGAATTACAATTCCTTTAAAAAAAAAATCACACACATTGACATTTTGGCATATGTTTGTTTAGATCTCATTGAGACAAAAAAGAATGGACAATGATGGAATGTTATTTCAATTTTTGTTTTTTTTTGTTTCTTCATATCCAGTCATCAAGAAGTCCTCGTGATTTGACTCTTTATATCAGTTGTATAAAGTAAAACCTTTGTCTCTATTAATGAAAAAGTGATATATTGGACATCAAATTAGAGGATTTTAATAATCCTATTCCTCACAACTCTGCATGAAATATATTCAATTATGCACATGTCTTAGGAATATTCAAAAGGATATATAACTTTTCCACATTCTATTCATTTTGATTTCCATAGAATCTTGTTAAACTTCATTGTTTGCAGATGGAAATATCAAAATTTCACCAAGATCTCTTTAGTCAGATTCATCACAATAATGAAATATTTAAAATTATGTATCACTTTCCTTCCATTCATGTAGTTATTCTATTTCCAATGTATACTTCATTGTTATTTTTTTTTAAACTACACTATTTACAGATAGAAACATTAAATTCTAGTCCTTGATACATCTCGTATTTTCCATTTCCAAGTTTACTTCATTATGTTATTTCTAAACTGCATTATTGACGGATATAAATATTAAATTTCAACACATCATTTAACAAATGCATTATTTATTTTTAATTATTGTAATTATTTCATATCCGTAGTAAATTCAGAGTTCTATTTAAACTGCATTATTTACAGATAAAAAAAGGAATGAGCCAGATACATCTCATAGGAATGTATTATTCCAAAGAAAACATCATTTATCTTCAACACATGTTATCAAATAATTTCATCTTCATATAATTTTTTTCTCTTTAAAGCTGTATCATTTACAGATAAGAAATACCAATGTTCTGAAAGAGCCAGATACATCTCATAGAAATATAATATTGAAAAGAATGTATTATTTCTCATAAATTCATTTAATTATTTCAGTGTATTACATTTTGTTTTTAAACTGCATTATTTACAGATGGAAATGTTAAAATATCACTTGTCTTGAGTACAATAAGTATCATATTGACACAATATTCAAAAGAATTGATTATTTCTCGTCAATTCATTTAATTATTTCAGTGTATTACATTTTGTTTTTAAACTGCATTATTTACAGATGGAAATGGTAAAATATCACTTGTCTTGAGTACAATAAATATCATATTGACACAATATTCAAAAGAATTGATTATTTCTCGTCAATTCATTTGATAATTTCATCTCTATAGTCTATTCCTTATATTAAAACTTCAATATTTACAGATGAAAAAAAAAAAAAAAAAAATGAGCCAGCTTAATTTCGTAACTATGAATGTAATATCCCAAAGAATGCATCATTCAATACAAATCATTTAATTAATATGTCATTGATATATTATCTCTTGTGCTAGATACATCTCATACCAATGAAATAAGTAATTTTCGTTTCGATGTCATGCAAAAGTATTTTTTAGTCTCAATTGTGAATCATTTATAAACAAGTTCTTTTTTTTTTTTAGATTTGATTTTCAACAAAAATTCAAATCACTCATATGAAAATACGCAAAGTATCATAATGACAAACACAGCTTGTCACAATCTAGCAGATTCAACTGCATTATTTACAGATGGAAATGTTAAAATATCACTTGTCTTGAGTACAATAAGTATCATATTGACACAATATTCAAAAGAATTGATTATTTCTCGTCAATTCATTTAATTATTTCAGTGTATTACATTTTGTTTTTAAACTGCATTATTTACAGATGGAAATGGTAAAATATCACTTGTCTTGAGTACAATAAATATCATATTGACACAATATTCAAAAGAATTGATTATTTCTCGTCAATTCATTTGATAATTTCATCTCTATAGTCTATTCCTTATATTAAAACTTCAATATTTACAGATGAAAAAAATAAATAAATAAAATGAGCCAGCTTAATTTCGTAACTATGAATGTAATATCCCAAAGAATGCATCATTCAATACAAATCATTTAATTAATATGTCATTGATATATTATCTCTTGTGCTAGATACATCTCATACCAATGAAATAAGTAATTTTCGTTTCGATGTCATGCAAAAGTATTTTTTTAGTCTCAATTGTGAATCATTTATAAACAAGTTCTTTTTTTTTTAAGATTTGATTTTCAACAAAAATTGAAATCGCTCATATGAAAATACGCAAAGTATCATAATGACAAACACAGCTCGTCACAATCTAGCAGATTCAACTCTACATTTCAGATATGAACTGGTCAGTGATTACTTTTTATGGAAACAAAGAATATGAAAGCATTAATTAACTGATATCATTTGGGTAGCATAGTTTAGTAGTGAGGCAGCTTATCATAAAAAGCCTGGTGGAGTGGGTGCCAGACTGCAGGTGTAGTGCCGCTGCAGAGGGCCTTGAGATCCTGATATTTACCCAAAGATAGCTTTGGTGGGCCATTCCTGTAGAGAGGCTCGGGTGTTACTTCAGTGACCTCTTCTACACCTCTCCGTGTCTGGTTTGTCCTGATCACATCAAATTCTTCATCAGTGTGAGAATACTTGAAGTACACGGAATCCACTTCACCTTTCACGACCTTCATAGCCATGAATTTCTTCCAGTCTACGGTTTGTCCACCCTCAGAGGTTCGGACTCGCAGAATACCTTTCTGTTGACCAACAGACTTCCAATCATCAATATCTCTTGATTGGACTTCTACTACATGATAAGGATGGGGGTGAAGACGAGCCATCGCACAAATGGTGCTCAATTGAGTCGGTACCATGACTTCTTTCACACGTCTAATGCTTCGTTCTATGACGCTGTGCATGGCATCACCCTCACTTTGTCCGTGGTTTGTAGGGAAGTAATTAACTGTGACCGATTCAACGGACTTAGCCTTTCCGATGAAATGTTGCAGCATTGTTGGGATGATAGAGTTCTTATTTTGACCGACACAGCCATCACAGTAGAACACTACTTGTTTCACACCCCTCTCATCTAGACTGTTAAGGTACCGATGGACGTGTGAGGCAATTTCACAGGATCCTCTTTTTGTTTCGCACTCGTGTGAAAGAAAGCACCATCCGTCCTTGCTTGCAAGTTCATATATCGTGAAGTTGTAGTTGCTGAGTCTACGTTTGTAGAAAATGTCAGATTGTGGGGACTTCGGCAAGTAAATGACCTGCTCCAGATCGAAAACTGCAGAGACAAATGTGTGGTCAACTGAAGCTCTTTCCTTAGCAAGACTCTTCAACTCTCTTACTTTTTCTTTTTCAGCAATGTGAACTTTGTATGCCCCTGCAATTTCTTCCCTCTCTTTGGGATTCCCACGTCTGTAGGTTTCGCACAAGGGGCACATGTCCTTTTTCGGATGATGGAACTTGATATTCATCTTCTTCAGAACCTTCCTGTAAAGAGATAAAGAAGCACATTCCTCTGTACCTTCTGTAGATGAATTGTACATGCGATACATGATCTCAGGATTGAGATCTTCTGAAAGGTATTCACATCGACTGTTGGCCCGACAATAATGAGATTCTTGACGCGGAAATTGATTAATGTGCCGCTTCACCCCTTCACGTAATAGAGCGTCTCTGTCAGACGTCTGCCTGCCACCCCTTCCTTCACCTTCAAGGCAGCCGTATGGTCTCTTCTTTCCAAGCACGGTCTTCACTTGCCTCTCTGATATACCTAATGTTCCCACGAATATCGCTTTGCATACACGAACTTTAATGCATGGATCACCTGCATTGGGCAGGAAATACGCACATTTTCTGATCTTTCTTGACTTCTTTTCTTGAATCTGTTCGGTGTGCCGTCCAATCCATTCTCTCTGCTTTGTCAGATCAGCAAGGTCATAAAAAGCTGATCTAATAGCTTCACGAGTGTTGCAACTAAATGTGTTGCAACTAAGTCCTCTGAAATGACACTTTTCACATGAGGTTTCGTAGCTAGCAAATCTCCTCGCCGCTTTTAGTTCCTTACTCTTTTCACTCTCATAGCTGTAACCAGCATTTCTCCGTTCTTTGACTAATTGATTTCTACTCTTCACCGTCTTTGGCTGCTCTGGCACTTCCAATGCTCTTTCCCCATCTACTTGAAATGATTCAGGAGACAGTTGACTATTATCAGCTGATTCCTGGGGAAGGCTAGCTTCTTCAAGATGCTCTGGAATATCTAATGAGTCGGTCGCATCGGATTGTTTTGATTCCAGAGTCGCCATCAGTACCTGATCTCCGTTCTCTTCAACTCTTGTATCCAATGAGGCTTGGTTTTCAAAGTTTCCTCTTCTTGATTCCATTAACGGCATAACCTCGTCTTCATTGTTCCTTTCTTCTTCGTTGGTGAGCCCTTGGTACTGTGATGCACTTGAACTGATGTCAAGTGGAATTTCACTGAGATTGAATGCAAGATTATGACAAAGGCAATCATCACGTAAGTTAAAATGAAGGAAGCATAAGAAACACAAGCACTCTGGACACGCTGCCCAAACTTCATCAGTACACATGAAATTGTCACATGTTTCAGGATTTCTCTGACCACACTGCATGTTTGGATGGAGCGGAGAATCTGGAGAAGATAAAAAGACAAAGGGAAAACAATGATATTGAGCACAACAGAAACAATAAGTGTGATAATAATTGATCAGGATATTGAATAAATGAATAGAAAATCCCTTTTATATTCAGAACACGTACACAATCAATAAAATGAAGTGTGCTTTTTGTCCATTCTAACTGTATCAATATAATTTCACTTTAGTTATTATCATCAGTATAATTTCCTTGTACTGTGGACAGTCCTCTGATTTCTTTATGTTATTATGAATAGTCATGAACTATTATTGGAAGATATTTTTACCTGCATGGCTGTCAGACTGTGTTATCTGGTCACTTGCGATGGATATTGGTTCAGGCAATCCAGATCCACATCCTGTTGAATCTTCAGGAAGTGATGGCGATGATACGGGTAGAGGACCAAGTTTTGCTTCTGGGGTAGGATTACAAAAATTGAATATAAACACTAGTTTTATACTCTCCGAAGAAGATGCCCCTCCCCCCCAAAAAAAATGAATAAGACTACAATAGTGAAATATACACACTAGTTCCAATGCCTCCCCCCCCCCCAAATAGAAGACTCATCCCAAACCTGCACCCACCCCTCCCCCCTAAAAAAAGATCTTACAAATGTAGAAGAATCCATTTATAATATTGAACATGCGCTTCGGTCTTTCCTCATTAAGATCTTGTAGGAAAGTTGGTCTAGATTGTTGTTGTTGTTATATTCTTGTACTTTCATAATGCAAACATTCTTATTCATAATTGTAATTAAGTTCATTTGTATATGCATATTCATTATTGTAAATATGGTCATTTTTTCATGCACAAATTCATTATTGTCAATATGTTCTTGTTGAGACTCTCATACTCCCGATCGGGGTTCGATAGAGTTTAATAAAATCTTATCTTATCTTATCTATCAAATTGGGAAAAGGAGTGTAATACCTGCATATTTGTCAGAAATTCGTGCCAGGGGGATGTCAAATTCCTCATCAGACTGTGTTATCTGGTCACTTGCGATGGATATTGGTTCAGGCAATCCAGATCCACATCCTGTTGAATCTTCAGGAAGTGATGGCGATGATACGGGTAGAGGACCAAGTTTTGCTTCTGGGGTAGGATTACAAAAATTGAATATAAACACTAGTTTTAAACTCTCATAAGAAGATGCCCCTCCCCAAAAAAAAAAATGAATAAGACTACAATAGTGAAATATACACACTAGTTCCAATGCCTCCCCCCCCCCCAAATAGAAGACTCATCCCAAACCTGCACCCACCCCTCCCCCCTAAAAAAAGATCTTACAAATGTAGAAGAATCCATTTATAATATTGAACATGCGCTTCGGTCTTTCCTCATTAAGATCTTGTAGGAAAGTTGGTCTAGATTGTTGTTGTTGTTATATTCTTGTACTTTCATAATGCAAACATTCTTATTCATAATTGTAATTACGTTCTTTTGTATATACATATTCATTATTGTAAATATGTTCATTTTTTCATGCACAAGTTCATTATTGTAAACATTTTCTTGACGAGACTCTCATACTCCCAAGAACTGGTTAACACTCAGATGATATCAAATTGGGAAAAAGAGGAAAAGGAGAGTAATACCTGCATATTTGTCAGAAAGTCGTGCCAGGGGGATGTCAAATTCCTCATCAGACGATTCTGAATCTTCAAGATATTCTGAATCGAGAACGATTCCTTGCCACAGAGTCCCTTCATAGTCCATGATCACCTCTTTCCCTTTTGTCATCTTCCCTGTCCACTGAAGGAGTGGTGAATGAACAATGTTGTTTGCACCATTCAAATGCCATTGCACCAAAACATCATAGCCTTTATCCGGTCTAAAAAGGAATAAAAAAAAGAAAGAGAGATTTCAACAACCTTATTTTCATAACAATTTTGCATACCGGTATGTATTCGGTAATAAACATACATATTAAGCTGTTCCATGAGAGATGAACTGGTAAAGAAATTATAGCCTTATTTTTTATAATTCATGAAGAAATTATTATTCTGCATTAATATTGGCCCAACACTTGAAATTATAAAGTCAAAGACATCACCTATATATTGTTTTTTAACACCATTTCATTATTTATAAATATTTATTCTGGTAAACATAAGAATTCTTACCTTGATCCACTTTTCCCTTTGCTCTTCTTTGGTCTTGGCATACCTGCTTTGTTTTAGATATCTCCTTCTCTAAGTTGCACAGCCACATCTGCGATAATAAAAACAAGAAAAAAAAATGAGACAAAATATTATAAAAGTCAATGATATACAAATCGGTTTCACAATGATTTGACACATAGGTAGAGATTAAAGTTACAATAATTTTACTACACCATGCATTCAAGTACATAAATAAAAATGTCAACAAGAACATGAACATGAATACCCTGGTCCCTGCCAATTTTTGGGACTGAATAAGACATTTTTTTTGTAATGAAAAAATGGTTAATCTAGATGAAGTCCAACTATTGTTCAGTACATTAATTGTAACTATCTTGATTAGATTACATATAAAATAGAACTTTCAGTTTTGGTCCCCGAAATGGGCAGGGCACAAATGACTTAAGATCTGCTAATGTACGTGGAGCTCCTAGGTAAAACCTTAACTATCTAGTCCAAATGTTAGATCTAGATAAAATCTATAAGATAGGTTAGTTAGTAACATTATTATACATCTTAATAATACTAAAAAAAGTTAGGACTAGACCTAGGTCTAGTCAGACTATGGTCTAGCTAGACTCTAGTCTAGATCTACACTAAGACTAAGTTACATCTAGGTCTAATTTGTGTCTTTCTTTGATCAGAAATAGATCTGGTCTAGGCCTAGGCCTAAATCGTCGTCGTTAGTAATAGTATTGTAAGATAAAGACAAAGTAGATCCTAGTACTATAGGTCTAGATCTAGAGTTAGACCTAAATTACTAGTGTTGAATTGCTCTTGTTCTAGTTTTTCCTGTGTTTATCTAATCTACAGACAGTATTCATTAAATAATCTTAGAAAGCAGATATCTTCAGTAGATCTGAAGTTAGTTCTTATTATCAACAGTCAGACAGGATTTCGTGTTAGGTCCAACCAAAAACTGAATAGGCGGGACTGTAACATAATTTTTCGTGAGAATTTAATGATAAAATGAACTTTTTAGAAAAATATAATTGCTATAACCGAAGGAAGAATCTCTTATTGTTTTTTGAAAATATTTTATGTTTTAGAAAATAGATCTTAGAGCATATACTTACGAAATAATTGGATCCGGGCAAACTTTCCAGGGAAGCGGCCGCTTCGTGGTGCAGCAGACGGATCAATTTACGTCAAATTCTTCACCACGAAGTGTCCTGAGCGCGCGAGCGCGAGAGAGGACGGTTCGTGGTACAGAAATATCCAATTTATTGCAAGAGGACGCTTTACGATGACGTCGTTATTACGTAACCGCGCAATGTTAGACTCTGAAATTTTCACAAAATGTAGGTATTTATTAGTACATGAAAAAAATGCAAAAAAATAAAAATTGAAAAAAATGCCGAATTTGGCCAGAGAGGACGGTTCGTGAAACGGGTGACGATATGCTAAAAGGGGGGGGGGTGTGCTGAAAAGGCTCGTATATAAAAAGAAAAAGGTCTACCCGTATTGAATTTACATACCGGATTTATGCCCGGGCCTCCCCCCCCCCCCCCCCCCCCCCCCACTTGAGAAAAAAAATCATGTAAAAACACGTGATTTTTACCTTTTTGGGGGGTTGGGTCCCCTGGCGCTCAAGGGGGGGGGGGGGGTGCAAATTAGTACATTACTGAGGACCAAAAAAAAAATGTGGTCATTACACCCCCCCCCCCCCCCCCCCCCCCCCCCCACTGAGCGAAAAAAAAGTTGGGGGGGGGTTGCTGGGAACACGCATATGCGTACCCTAAATAACACTGACTGAGGGGGGATAGGGATATAGAGATTTACAACCACTCTCACACCGTCTCAAAGTTAGACTTTATTGTGAAAACTTAATGAAAACGATTATCAAAATTCATTATACATGGCCATAATGATCACAATCCAAGCTTTGGTAATTCTCCGGATTCTGCCCAAAGGAGAGAAAAAGCCTGGAAAGAGAATAGTTACGCATTGTTAGTTTTAGGGTTAGGTTCAGGCAGTGGGGGTAAGGGTTAGGTTTAGGGCACTGGCGCACTGATGGGGGGAGGGGGGGGGGCTGAGGGGGACAGTTGACTTCCCAAATAAAATTCAAACGTGGTTTACTTCTAATTCGATACCCGTGATTTACAAATGTTGCTGAAATGACATGATTTTCCGGAGACTTCTCACTTTTTTATAATGTATACTTTTGTATGCGTTTGTTGGACAATGACTCATTCCCAAGTATACAGTCGGGCAAAAAATATGTTTATTAAGAAGCCTACATGTCAGGACCTGCGGAACGGCGGTAATCAGGGGGCTAGAGCCCCCGCCCCCCCCCCTCCCCCCTCCTCTACTCACTTTTTTGAAAAAGAGAAATGAAAAGAAAGAAAGCCGGAAAAATAGCGACCTGCCAGTGTCACAAAATAATGAGGTATCAAAAATGCTCAACTCGGACCGTAATTTATTGCCTACAACCCCTGAGCTTCTGGGGGTTTCGTCCCTGTACCCCAAGGGAATCGAATTATGTTATTATGATGAAAATATTGTATTTTAAAGAATTATTTGTTTTGTTTCAATGTTTAATAAATTTTGAATAAACGTTACGGAAAAGCAAAAATGAGAATGTGTGGGTGGGTGCCGGTCTAGTGACACACCAAGCAAACAATCAGCGTATCCTGACGTCTTTTTTACATTTGTTTTCAAGATGAAAATTCCTGCAAGACTCATTATTATATTTTAGTCTGCCAATGACATTGTGTGCAATTACTTTCCTGACTTGTAGCAGGAGGGTTAATCAACTTAATATTGTGCTTAAAGTAGATCATTGGTATAAACAACATGGGGCGATTGACCATGTTGACGTGTAAGAGGGATGATTTTAATGTTATTTAAAAATTACTATAGCCATGTAATAATTATGAAATTATAACATCATGTAGGAAGGAGGATCTCTATGTCAAGTTGAAGACAAAATCATCACCCTACATTTGACGATTCTACAAGTAACCTTGCTCGCAGCCTAACGAATGTTATTACGAATTTTCTTCCCTAAGTTAAAAACATAGGCCCGAATTCACAAAGGAGGTTTGTCGACACCCCTTGGTTTTCGTACGTCATATATGACGCGTTTTTACGCGTATTTTTACAAACTTGTTTGTAAAGAACAAAAGGAGGTTTGGCGAAACAAAAGGAGGTTTTTCGACAAACCTTGGTTTGTCGACAAACCTCCTTTGTGAATTCGGGCCATTGTGTTCTGTTACTGATTTTGAGTGTAGTGTGTTTTTTCTTCTTCTTTGTATATATTTTGTAAAGGATATAGATTTGTGTATGGACCCTGGATGCTTTTTTTTTTAAGAGAGAGAGAGAGAGAGAAAGAAGATGGACTTTGCCTGGTAAAAGAAAAAAGAAAACCGCATTTGAAAGGAATATTCTGAAAGGAAACGTACCTTGATTGAAATCATTTGTAATAATGTTCACGCTGGTAGGTTTTGAATTTAAAAATAAAATCATTTTATGATCACTGATTGTGACGTCAGGCGCGTGGGTGCCTAAATGCTCAAAACAGGTTTGTCAATTAGATTCTTTAGAGTAAAATTACAATGGAAAACTATTTGAAGTGTTAGCATGTCCAAATTTGGTATTACTTCGTTCCGATTTGATACAAACATTCCTCGCTGAATAATATACGAGAAAACTAAAACAGACATAATACTGGAAAATTTAAACATTACATTGTCCTAGTATTCAAATTATGCAAGAAAACCCGTTTACCTTCTAGACTTCACTGTCAGACACTATTGAGTGAATGACTGACATATTTTATCTTTGGTAATAACATATATAAAATGAGCTGTAACAGGTACATGAGCATTTGCCAATAACCCACTACTTGTAATAGTCAAAATTAACCTGATTGAATAAGTGTGCAGCACAAAACTGACGACTATTCGGTAAAAAGGTCTAAAAATCAGATTATTACTCAGGTGATTGCAATCACTTAAGTCGATTCGACAACTAAGGGTCGTTTTTTTCCCACTAATAGCAATTTTCAAGCCCTTTCGTTTTGAGGTAAGTTCTAAATTAGTATTGTCTTTCAACAGCCGTTGGATTTTAACCTTTTCATTTTGTTGGCCTGCAAATGGGACATAGTACCTTTACGTTCAGGACCACCTGTCCATCCTTAACAAGATTTCGCATATACATATATGTATCATAATGTAATTCAGGAAATAAGTGAAAACCCTAAAACGTAAATTCCCATGTATTTAGGTATGGCATGCTATACTTTAAACTAAGAGGGCTTTTAACCGTTAAACTGATGTTGAATAGATTGGGAAAACCTGAATTTTATAGACACATTTTGTTATGCAGCGTTGAACATTAGTAAAAGAATATCAAAAGTAGACAAAGTATATTTAGGCAAAGATACCATGTACACGGTGAAAAACATATGGGTCAATATTTCAATACTTCCCTTGTTGACATTTGAAATGGTCAGATTACATTCTTCCGTCCTCAATACGAAATACACTGTTGCTCATGAATTTCAAATATTTTTTTTCCCCCAATTTATGGAATTATTTTGACAATGATTTATTCCTAAAAGATCTAGATAATAGTATACATTCTCAGATTTTATTGAATAATAATTTGCCAGTGTTTGTTTTGCGTGACTGTTAAATCATGTGTATTCTACTATGGTTATCAACTATAGGGGCCCTTAAGTCATAAATGACAGTAAAGAGGATTATTGCCCCACAAAAGGGCACTAATATAGCACATCGACACGGTTTTGATCCTTTGGCCTCACAGTTACGAGGCCATTGCTTTGTCACTGAACCATGACTGTACGCAGCGGGGGCTAGGGTAGGGGGCAGTTCCCTCAAATACAACATAAAAAAAAGAAAATGCAAAAAATTATAAATAATTCATTGCATTTTGCCCTGACCCCCAACATGAAAAAATCCTCTATGTGGGCATGCCTTGAACCATAATGCATGGCCCTATATAGAGGATTTTGTTTCTGTTGGGGACCGGGGTAAAATGCAATGAATTAATGATAATTTATTGCATTTTCTTTGTTTTTTTAACGATACTCTGCATGTGACTGACCTGAAATTACCATGCAATAATCAGATAATGTGAAACTATAATGGAAGGTAATTAATATTTTTTCAATATTCTTGATAACTACTCCGATTTTTACTTGAACTTTAGGACCTATACATGGCATCAAATTACAAAATAAACATCAGAAGTGAGTCCTTCTCCCTTCAGAAGCTTGTAATACACTAACTCCAAGAAGCTCCGACGCCGACGCCGGAAGGACCTTTTCTAGGTTCTTTAAATGCAAAGTCCACTATCCTACCGGGGATCTTTAGGGAACCGCCTCGAACAAGATGATGTTCCATACGTTACCAGAGCCAAAATGCCTTATTCTTGACCAGGTTTAGACTTAAGAAATTTAAGACATCGTTTTATCAAGGGTTCTGCTTATTCATCTGACGACGGAGCGCTGGAATACACACAACTTGAAAAACTTGAAGTTAGAAGGAATTATCTTTGTAAGAAATTTGCCCAGGCCCTCACGAAATCTAGGCACTTCATTAACTGGTTACCCCTTAGGAGACAATATGAAGGTTCCCGATCAATTAGAAATAAAACCATCTACCAACAAATGCGCTGTAGGACAGAAAGGTACAGAAAAAGCACTATCCCTTCTTTATTGACATACTAAACAATACCTCATGAAAAGTCTAATAAGACTGACAATAATAATCATATGATTGCCTTGATAACATGTATGTTCGGTTTACCCGTATCTTAGATTTGGATATTGATGAATTTGGATTTCCTCTTTCACCTCTTTCCATCATCTCCCTTTTACTATATTCCTCATTCCTCCTTTCTGTTATTTGTTCTCTTACATACTACTTTTATATCTTGTTCCTCTCTCCCCTTCTCTCTTTTTCTCGCTTTCTCTCTCTCGCTCTCCCACTTCATCAACATCCTATAATATATACATCTGCCTATGCATTTGTTATTGCCTTCTTCCTGGCATCCAACAATTATGTTATGTTTTAAATGTAAATAATATCCTTTTTTTGTTGTTGAGAAATCTGTTTATAGTGTTTAATTCATCTACTTTCACCTTTTTAGGTAGTATTTGAAACATATAACCTTTTTAATGATGGACTAAATTTTATTTTACAATATCCTCATATCAATATATCATGTACATGTAATAGTTGTACCTGGTTCTGCTCTCTCTCATCTGACGATGAAACATTTAAAAAACATACCTAAAGCCTTATTTCTGGTTTTTGTCACTCTTGATTCTTAGTTTTTCCCTAATGGTATTTTTCTTCCTCTTTTTTTTCTTCTTCTTCTCCCTCTTTCCCTTTCTCTCTATCTCTCTCTCTCTCTCTCTCTCTCCATT